TTTGGAAACTTTTCCTAAAAGGATCAATACGATTGAATATCTGAATTAGTGACGGAGATAGTAACCATAGGTATCCGTAAAGCCTTCGAGGACAGGAAACCAACTAAGATACCAAAGCACAAAGTTCCACCAAGGAACTTTAGAGGTTTTTTTTAAAAGATAGGAATGGGGCTAAAAAACAAAGAGGGGTATTTTAGTGCAGCCCTAACTGAATATAATAAACAAATTAGTAAAACCAAAATAGCATCGTGAAGAAAGCTATGCGAGGAAATTGAGTCTTTACCTCATGTGCAAAACTACACAAAACGCTATCAAAAACTAAACCTAATTAGATAGTCAACCCATTTCCCAGGGTCAGATAAGACTTTTGCCCTGAATTCTTTCAGAACCTTAGGGAAGGCCTTATGTTGAGGACTGACATAGGGCTGCAAATATATAATAAGGCCAAAACCTGGTGCAGTGAACTGTTGACTCTTTCATACCATATAAGACAAGCGGAGTGATAGAATAACTGCCATTCAACTACAGAGGAGTATAAGATATCCTTCTTCCTTATCTGGTGGAAATCTTTGAAGCAAGTTTTGCATTGGGGATATATTTCAGAACGATGGACAAATTGTTTTTAAAGTTCCTATTTATACCTAAGGCTGGTAGAGAGAACTACGATTTACCAAGGTCCCTTAGATCTATAAGTCTATCTTCCTTTCTTCTTAAGACATTGGAAAAGGTTTTAAATAGATATATAAGGATGTGGCTCTAGCTGCGACGTTCATTCGTTACAACCAGCATGCTTCTCGCGGAGGTAAATCTACAGAAATAGCGCTGACCAGTGTTATTGATCTTTATGCCTTTCTAGACATTTGGGGCGCCGTCAACAGTAGCCTCACATCACTGCTATTTGGGAGCCTGACGTCTAAAAATTTTGACCCCACAACCATCAGGTGGGTGAAATCAAAGCTCTGAAACAGAGTAAAGACAAGAATTGATCTGTTTTAAACTTCATATGAGGTTGCATCTACAAGAGGCTGTCCACAAGGAGTTGTTTCGTCACCCTTTTCTTTAGACTCTGCAGTTCACATACTAGGTTATGCTGATGACCTTGTGATCACTGCAAGGGGCTTTAACCAAAATGCTTTATCATTAATCATACGAATAGCCCTAAACACCATAAATAATGCTGGTGTGGGGATAACAATTTGTCAGTTAATGCTGATAAAACTTGTTTTAATTACCCTTTATCAAAAAGAGATGGTTGGACAAATTATACACACCAAACTCAATGGTAAAGAAGTACCATTCTCCGTTGCAATTACTACTGAAATTACTTGGGCACAACAATCGACCAAAAAAACGTTGCGCATAGCGGCTGTACAAATTTCCTTAGTTACGTGCAGTCGTTTGGTCGAGGAAACAAACGGGGCTTCTGCGTCCCAGTTGTGAAGTCGGCTTTTAATTTTTTATTATACCGCTCCAACGTCCGTATAGCAATTTTTGACTCCTGAAACACCGCGAAAGCATAAACCATATGTGCAATCTTAAGTTATGTTTTGTCTATCAAGCCAGTCATTCAGTTACTGTAGAGTATGGTAAGGGCACGGTAGAGAGAATTGAAAATTGCACACGCCTTCAGTGCATTTTTAATATATTTTACCGTATAATCTGTCATAAAAATTCTATTCTAAATCAGTGCGCGCTTTCACTATTGTTTTAGTAGACCTTATAAATCTACAAAACTACAATGACGTTTAGTATTAAATTTAGACTAGATTAGATACATTGTATTTGTATCTTATCTTTGTATGTACATTTAAATATTATTAATATTAATAATAATAATAATAATAATAATAATAATAATAATAATAATAAATATATAAATATAATAATATTGACAATAAGGAAGAGGCGATTTTTGAAACGCGCAGCACCCCCTCTCGAAAATCGACCGTGACTTCCCCGCATACCCTTAAGCAAGCGAAATCGGGCTACGTGAGGGCTCTTAACCCAATGCTGATGACCTATTTGGAAACCGGGACCTTCGCGAGACGGACTCGATTCTCTTTGGCGCCGCAGTGGCAGTTTGCCGTATTATTGGCGCCAAACTTCCCGCATGGCTGGACCGCTACTACACAAAGTAACGCCATCCCAGCCTGGAGGAAAAGAATCGAGGACCGTATCGCAAGGCAGCAGCCCCTATCGGCAGACTGACAAGCTTCAGGTCGGGTTAATAGACCGGATTACATGCGCACCGTTAGAGATGGCGTTTGCTGGGACAAATATCAGTTTGTCCCAGCCGGATATCACGCAGAAACTAACGGAGCGCATGGACGACCTGAAGCAAAAGATCGCTGCTTGGGGGAAGCGGATTCGACGATTTTCCGAGGGGTCAAGGCGGTTCAACCAGAATCGTCTCTTCCAAAGTGATCAGAAGAGGCTCTATAAATTATTGGAGCGACCAAAGGTATGTGGAGCGGGCCAAGGACCGGATCAGGCTGACATTATCGCATTCTGGCGTGGCCTGTGGTCAGAGCCCGTAAACCACAGTGAGGGCCCTTGGATGGAAGTTGTGGCGAGCCAGGGTGCGAGTGTTACGCCTATGGACCCCATCACCATAACGCCAGAAGACGTGGCTGAAGCGGTCCGTAGAGCCCCGAACTGGAAAAGTCCGGGGCTCGACGGGCTGCTCATTACTTGCTAGGGGTTCGTAGTGTGTCACTCTGTGCTCGCCCGACAGTTTCAAGAGGTCTCTCGACCAGAAGTCACTCCCGAGCTCTCTTCACTACTGGGATCACTCACTTGGTAGACAGGAAACACAGACCTGAGCAAATACCGCTCCCATCACGTGTCTACCCACCATATAGGAAGACACTGACATCCATTTTGAG